TGAAGTTGGTCAACTGGATAAAAATACATGAGACCTAGAACAAGCGGGTTAAAGCAATGGCCAGGTAATCTTTAAGAGACAGTCAGCCATGAGTTCCGATTGGCATGAAGATGAATGTTGATGGGAGATCCAGGCAGGGGAAGAAAACTAATAACAACTAGGGAAAAGGCAAGAGTGTTTATGAAAGGGACACTGAGAACAGAAAGAAGAGTATATAAAACGATTTGGGGGGGCGGTTACCTCAATAGTTAATCAGATAGAAGGGCCTGGAACCTGGTTGGGAGATGACAGAAAGCTAGAAAGAAGCCAAAGCATGGGAAGTTAAGAGAGACTGAGAACCTGTCACCATGACAGGATTAGAGGCCTCTCATGGTAAGGGTGCTTACAGTGAACTGTTTGCCTTGTTTCCTGTACCAAGGGCTCTCCAATCTCAAATCCAACATAAATTGGAACAGCTAGGGACTATCCTAATTCAACCCATGGTTCACATCCTTGTCACATACTAGTTTGGAACTGATACAGATGAGTGAAGCTCCACCCCAGCCTTGTCTGTCCTTTTTCCTTTTCTGTCACTTCCCTTACATTTGGGAAAGGAGAGGAAATATAACAGTGACTACACAAGCCAAGTATTAGCCTTTTGCAAACTAAGCCTTTCCCCTGCTCCTGGCACCTCACTGTAGCTGTATCTACACGAGACGCTGACTGCGCAGTCATTTAGTACTTGTATAATCAGTGTTAGTGTGCAATAGCATCTCTGCATTGGTTGCCTGGTGATGCTTACTGTGGTTTGTGCCCAGTGCCGCTACTGTGCAGTAGCAACAAACATCTCATGTAGATGTGTCCTGTGTCACTTAAGCAGTCCAAAACGGATCTGGACAGCAGCAGAAAATATATATTTGGCCCTGCACTAGGGGCTGAACTGGATATATTTGGAATGGGAGGGAGGGGGCAGGGAATCTCTGCAGCACAGGGAAAAAAAAGTGACACTAGTAGTCTAGGAATACTAGACTACTACAGTAGGGCAGGCACCAGCAACAGGAAACTACAGAACTATAACATAGCTAGTAATCAACTTCTCAATGTTAATATTCCCTGGTTATAATGATCCAAATGACATGTTCTATAGAGAAGTAATGAAGTAACCAAGTTGTACAATTTGTTGTATAGCCTAAAAAATACATCTGCCTTTTTTCACTAAGCTGCTCGCTCAGCAGATGATATGCACAGAGACCAGAGATACAACTTGACTGACCTCTGAAGTGTATTGAAGTGGTATTCATACAGATACATCAGCTACACTTTGAGATGATTCCCAACTCAGGCTTCCTACAGACATTACAACTAGAAGTCCAGGGGGTTAGATCAGGATAAAAATGGCCCCCGATCTAACTCAGTAATTAAATAGGTCCTGGGAGCCTGATCTAAGGTAAATCAGGGTCAGGGCAGATGGGATGGGGGGCTTAGCAAAGTCTGTGGGGGAGGTTGTGGGATTGGGGGAGATTTGGCAGGATCACAGAGGCTCTCCAATCCTGCCAGGCCATCCTCCAGATGCCACAGAACCACCCCCAATCCTGCAAGCCACTCACAGAACCAGCCGTACTGGCATTCACCAGTCCCAGGAGCCTGACTGAAGTTAAGTTGGGGTCAGAAGATCAGGGGGGCTGACAGCTTCAAGGGGCAGTTAGCAGGATTGCAGGGGCTGGTGGCTCTGCAGGTGGAGTTTGGTAGGACCAGGGCGGGGGAGCTCTCTCCCCCTGACTTTCCCCATCCCCAGATAAACAATTCCCTGATGAACCAACCACCTTTGCAATCCCACCCACCCCAACTTACTTTGATCAGGTCCTCACACCAGCAAGTGCCAGTAAAACTGGCACCAGGAGCAGTTTGCAGGCTTTGAGGGTGTGGCATGCTTGGGGAGGGGCTGACTGGTCTGTGTGAGGGGGGTTGTCTGTCTGGGGGTAGAGAGGGGCCAGGGGACTAATAATAGTCCAGTGCCAGAGTTGGTGGGGGGTAAGAGAAGTACAGCCCCAGGGCTGGGGCCAGCAGCTGGGCTTTCATATACCTGGGGCTGTACTTGAAACATGTAAAGAAGTTGAGTTAGATTCAGTGTGGGTAGACTGATCTAACAACTTGGTGCACCTCTGAAGTATAGTTAAATTAGATTGACTCAGCTGTTTTGGGTACTGATACAAGTGATGTTTTATTGCATAATTGGCCACTGAAAGTGCTCTACAGCCATGCCCTGACAGAAGTTCATGGATGCAGAACATGTTAAAAGTGCCCAAGCATGCAACAAATTAACCCTAGTAGCATGAGGGTTCAGATGACCACACTCCAAAGCAGAGTGGTTTCGTTAACTTCTGTTAGTGTGCACCAAGAACAGAGCTGAGCTAGACAGAGGGGAGGGAGTTCCAGCTGGAGCTGGGAGAGAGGGGCAGGATTCGAAGAAGAGACTGAAGACGTGCATCCTCTTTCATTGGATCAGCTGTATGTCTGTTGGGTCAGGAGCAAACATCTGTTAGGTCAGGACGGTTGGTCTAACTCATAGCATTTTCAATGAAGTTCCTTGAGTAAGGGCACAGACAGACATGCAGCTCCCTGGTCTTTTTTTTTTTTTTTTTTAACTAATCTAACCTTTTTGGAACATCTGTACAGTTTGTATTTAGGTTGGCCTAAGTACGGATATAAGTATAAGGTCTGCACCTGAGTAAACCGAGTTAGATCAAGTGGCCATTTTTAACCCAATCTAACCTCCAACTAGCCTTTCTGAACATCTGTACATACCCTCAGTTGCTATTGATTTACAGTTTGTAATTTCAATGCCTTTAGTACATTTTCTTCTATTTTATACCTGGGCAAGACCAGAATCTGCTCTTAATCAGCATAATTCTCCAATGATATTAATTTGTGTGTTACAAATCAGTACTCTGAAAATGGCCAACTGCTTCACAAAACGAACAGAAAGACATGATTTGCCTCTTCCTGAAACTAGGTTTACATTTATAAAAACTCTACTGATTAATAGACTTGCTCCTGATTTATACCAGCATGAGGGAGTGGAGAATCAAGAACATTGCCTCTTCCATGAGGACCTTATACATTTCTTCAGTTCATACTACTAATACGTTCACTTTTTCTGGTTATAGAACTGAACTGGGAAGCCAAGTTATCCTTGGGTTGCCAGAACCTTCCTAATTGTTCTTCCTGCTTTGAATATTGTGCAACCCAAGCACTACTTTGTTAATTTTCATTTTTATCCTGGAAAATAAAAAGTCACTATGTTCTAGAAAAAAAAAAAATCTTGGCTCTCACCTTGGAAGATCACTTATCCAAGTTTTGATTCCAAATGACTATCTGAGCTGCTACTTCTAATAAAAAAGTCCTGTTAATATGATACTAGAGAAGACCTGTTATTGACCTAATTGCAAGGTGAGGTTTGTACAATCAGCCACATGCTGATTTTAATGGGACTATCACCATGGAAGTTAGCCTAATTTGCAACATTTAAGTTGCACACTACTGTCTCTTGCATGCTTTATGGCTCAGCACCCATGGAGCCAAGTTTCATTTAAAAGGGAGTCCAAAGTTGACTTTATTTTATGCCTTTACTTGTTAGAAGCCAAAAAACAAAACTGGGGTAATGGTAATAGATTTTTTTAACTCCTAGTTTCAAAAGTTAAACCTTTAATGGGTTGAAAATAAGTAGTTTTAAGAAACTGAAAGAAGGTCAGGTAGCAAGTACTATCCTTGTAACTAGCAAAAGTGCAAGTACATATTTGGCATTTTACAGAACCTTCAGGCTTAGTTTGATTAGTTATTAAAATCATGGTTAGCCTACAGGGAGAATCACGATAATTGGTATAGGTCATAGATAATCAAAAGTGTCTCTCCCACTGGGATGAAACCTATTAAAATCAGATATTTAAATCTCTTTACACTTAAATATTCTGCTCACGTGCAAAATGACTTGTCCCAAATCTTAGTCTCCAAGGAAGAACACAGACATTTTTCATTGTTCTTTATTTGGTGCTAATTAACATTTTCAAGAGGTTTGAGACAGGCTAAGCTTAGTATACCCCAAAGAAATAATTCTTTCTAGCTGCCAGATCCTTGCTTTATCTCGTTAGGAGAATTAACTCTGAATGTTTAGATTATTTTAACTGACATCTCAAAGGCTAATATGTAAAAAAGAATATTTAAATATAGCCCATTCTTGCTATTGTGAAAGTCTGAATTCAAGACTCATGTTAATCAAATCAGTTTTTATTAGATTCAAAAGTCTAGCTTTGCTGTTGAGACTACTAGTAAAGTATCATATTAATGAGTATGTTGTTTTTCCACCTTATTCAAGTATTGCTTGTATAAAAAGATTGAACGAAACAATGAAATAATCATGCCAATGCTAACCAAGTTAAAAATAAATGGGAGAAGACACAAACTAAAGATTAGCACCACATGAAAATCTGATCAAATGTGGTCATCATTGTACCATAATAGTTATCAATGAAAAATGAAATGTTTCGCTCAATGCCACATAATGCCCACTAACATCAGTTGATGCAGTACCATTGGCGTCAAGAGGTAGAGGGTCAGGACTTAAATACTCAGAATTCACCTATGCTTCAGATCTGTCCTCCTCCCCACCCTTTTTTCCATCTGAAACCAAGAAAGCCATAAGACCCTTCATTCATAACAACAACAAAATCCAAATTGTCAGAGAAAGCAACTTCTAAGGCAAAAGTTTCCAGAGAAGCAAACAAAACAACTTGTGAGGGACATTTGTTATTAAGCTTAAAGGTAGGATGAGATGACCTAACATCTGAACCATAAAGATTAGACACTTGCCACTCAGATCATCTTTTCTCTTCACTGGTATTTCAGCTCCTTGTTTCCATCTTGAGCTAAAATTAAAGATTTGGTTTTTTTCTTTTAAATCACGATTCAAGAAGAGAATAGGAAGCAGTTTATTTAGCCCATAATAACAGTTGTTAGTGATCCATTCATGTGTATTTTGGAGTGTGCACAATGTTCAACTTTTAGCTTTAAGCATTTCACTCCAGTGCCAAATGTCAATGTGCATGCCAGTGTTGCCATTTAGACTTCATAATGTCATTCTAATCTTAGATGTGATAAAAAGTCCTTAGAGTGATTATACAGTATTGTTTGCAACTCATTTATTATTCATGTATCCATTCAGTCATTGGGAACACCGTGCTTCAGTTCTCTTTCCACAAACTGTAAAAAAAACAAATCATTTCCTGTAGTCCAATGTAATGAATCCACTAAAAATAAATGGGTGGAGGGGAAAGAAACTATGATTATTTGCCAATCAAACTGATATATTAAAACAGGTTTTACTCAGCTTGACGAAGTTCCAGGATTAACATTTCAGTCATACAACTTCAAGTAAGTAAAATGATTTTCCCCCTCTCTCATGTGTGTGAAAAAAAACAAACAAACAATAAGAAGATCTTTACAGATTGCAGTCAATCAAGACTGGATGTTAATGCTATGTGTGCACCACAATAAGACACAAGAAAGTATTTGGCGATTTTTATAAGCTTTCATTTGCAGTACAGTTTTCCAATTTCCCTTTAGCAAAAAGATGTTAAAGCCTAATTAAACATTTTTGCTGCTGCCCAGAGAAGGTTCTTTTATATATCATTATAAGCATCTTTTATATTCTACATAGATTCATCTTCAAAAAGCAAAAAGAAAAAAAAAAAGTCTCCAAATCAGGTCTTGTCCACACAGTGCCTCTAGAGTCATTTGTCACCAGGGGTGGATCCAGAGGGACTGCAGTGGTGTGGCTACCTCCCCCTCACTCCTTCCCCCCACCCCTCCCTTTTGGATTACACTACACCAGAGAAGTTTCCAGGAACTTTTTAAGAGTTCCTAAAGCATGTGAAAATCTGCCCTCCCTTCCTGCTCAAAGACACAGCCACTCTCTCCACCTCCCCTTCCTCCCCTCAGATTTGATGTTCTCCACTGTCCCAGGGGTGGGGAAGTAGGGCGGTGTGAAATTTCACTGGCTGTTTTATTTCAACACTGTTTTGACTCATTTTGAAGTCGAAACAGCGAAATCAAAACTAAAGGGCTTTGAAACAGCCTCAAAACAAAATGAGGGCAGTTGAAACATTTTGAAAGTTTCAACACATTTCAAGCTTTGAAACAGCCCAGTTGAGTTCCCCTCCCCAGTGTGCGGGCCGTCTCCCGATCCCACCCTCGTCGCCATGTGCGGACGGCGGGGAGCAATCAGGGCCCTTTTGTGCCGCGCGCGGGCTGTGGCCAGCAGCCCGGGCATGCTGGATCAGAGAACAGGCGACACGCTGGAATTAGGCGCGGACGCGTAATGGTTGATTCAAGATTATTTACTTACACCGAAGATGGTCGCGGAGTAGGCTGGACAGTTTCCAGGC